TTCTTTTAAAAATGTTTAAAGGTTCATGAGTTTTCAGTATACAGATTGAAAACTTCACACACACACCCAAACCTGTGTATTTCTATAGGATCTTGGCAGCTCTCATTTGCAAACTCCATTGTAATTATATGAACAAAAGCATGAGTTTAGTGGAACTCCAGTAGGATAATTCCTCGAAGGACTGCCCCCTCGATGTTTAGAAGATGTACAATATGAGTTTGGTGGTCCTACTATTAGGATTTTAAAGAAAACAGAAAGACACCCTCAAACACACGAGCACAAGTAGAGCGCATAAGGCTGGTTGCCAAATCTTTGTTTGTGCATTGGTACAGATGTTCCACAGACTGCCTTGCGACATACACACCATGCTATGAAGTGCCTTAAAAGAAAAGAAAAAGTTGCAAAGCAACAGCAAACAAAACAATACTGGACTGCCTTTGAAGATGTCTCCAGAGACTCGGTTGGTACAAAAGGCAACAGCAAGATTCTTCTCTGGGGTCAGACTCTCAGACATGAGTGCTATGTCAATCGCACCATTTCCTTCTTTGCTTCCAGTCCATGGTTGGTTAAGCTTTTCACAGCTTGGCACCTTCATGCTTGCCGAGCTGCATCTCTGGTTTCCTCCCAGGCACCAGCTGTGAGCCAGCTGTGGTGCAGTGGTTAAGAGTGGCAGACTCCAATCTGGAGAACCAGGTTTGATTGATGCAGCCAGCCGGATGAGGTTGGGTCGGTCACAATTCTCTCAGAGCTCTCTCAGCCCCACCTACCTCACAGGGTGTCTGTTGTGGGGAGAGGAAGGGAAGGCAATCGTAAGCTGCTCTGAGACTCCTTCGGGTAGTGAAGGGCGGGGTATAAAACCAACACTGCTGTTGCTGCTTCTTCCTCCTCTCTTCTCCGTATGGTTCTCTCTCCCTGAAGATTGACCGCATGGCAACATGGACAAAGGCTTTTTCTGTGGCAGGCCCAGTACTTTGGAATGGCCTGCCAGCGTGGGTGCCAAAGATGCTTTTATTTTTGGTGCACTTGGTGCATTTAGAAAGGCGGAAGGTGTACTGTTTTGGCAGATTTGGCTATGCTTGTTGCCTGTATGTTTGCTAATGGACTGTATGTTGTTTGGTGTCCTTGCATTATTAGCCACCTCGAGTCAAAGGGAATAAGGCAGGATATAAGTATTTTAAAGAAAGAAAGAAGTGATTCCTGTTCGCTTTCCCTATCCTGCCCCAGATGCCTCCTGAAAGGGTAGGGGGAGGTTCTGCCAACTTCCTAGGTGTTGAAACATAGCTGATTCGTAGAAAGAGTTCCGTAATGAGAATACAGCCAGTTTGGTGTAGTGGTTAAGTGCGTGGACTCTAATCTGGGAGAACCGGGGTTGATTCCCCACTCCTCCACTTGCACCTGCTGGATGACCTTGGGCTAGCCATAGTTCTGACACGAGCTGTTCTTGAAAAAGAGCAGTTTCTGTCAGAGTTCTCTCAGCCCCACCTACCTCACAGGGTGTCTGTTGTGGAGAGGGGGAGGGAAAGGAGTTTGTAAGCCACTCTGAGACACCTTTGGGTAGTGAAGGGCGGGGTATAAATCCAATCTCTTCTTCTTGATACTGAAGCTAGCCTGTGGGTGAACTCAAAAGCATAATGGAAGTTGTTATTTAAGAGAAATTGTTTTAGAAAACTGGATGGCTGAGAAGAAACTCATGAACGTTTTCTGATGGTCCAAAATTCTCTCATTTGTGGAGCTTGCCAGTATTTTTGGCGTTATTACATCTTCTCCTCTGGAGGGTCGCTCCAACGTACCCTCCGATTGCCTAACCAAGCCTGGCTTGCCTATGATGATGTTAGATGTGACAAACACTGGAATGTTACTGATTCATCACCATCACATGATGGACTGAAAGCAATTGGAAATGGCCCGCATGTTTCCTGTGGGTGTGAAGTCCCACCCTTGGCCCACCGAGACAAGATCAGGGCTGGGAGGAACTCCTTTCAGTGAAAAATGGACCATTCCGGACAGAACAGATTCTCTCCAACTTAAATAGCATTTCAAGTATTAATAAACCATACAAAATCTTAAATCTTGCCTCGTTTCCCCGTTTGTAGCTTTCTCATGGCCAGGGTCACTAAGGAATGAATGAACTGCCTCGTTCAGTGTGGTGTGGTTCAGTGTGGTGTGGTGATCAGAGTGTTGGACTGGGGACTGGGGAGTCCCAGGTTCGAATCCCCACTCTGCCACGGTTGCTTGCTGGGTGTGTGAATCCAACAGTGGCAAGAGTTAGTCTCTGAGTATCCCCTTCTGACGCCCCCACAAAGGCAGAGCAGAATTAGTAAAAGGCAGTGCCTCTCCTTCCATCCTGTGCTCACTGTCCATAAAGATGCTCCAGTCTTGCCCCACCTACCCTGACTCCCGTTTTGCTTCTAGGCTCAAGGTGCTGGGCTTAACCTTTGAAGTCCTCTACAGCTTACTGTAAGGACTACCAACTCCTGTATGAATGTACACCCAGTCACAACAGCCATCTGCTTCGCCCTGCCTTGGATGTCCTTGCTGTCTGCGACTGGATTGCACGGCAACTCAAGAAAGGGCCACCTTCATTGTGACACCTGATGATGGCGTTCCTTCCCCTGGGAGATTAGCCTCTCCCTGTATGCCCTTTGTCTTTCATTAGCGGGTGAAGACTGTGTTCTTCTGGGCACTCTTGTCACAGTTCCTGCTTCCTGTTTGTGTTTTTTGTTTTGTTTAGTTGTTTTTGTGGTGTGTGCGCGTATACACACACCACAACAACTAAACTAAACAAAAACACAAACAGGAAGCACATATATGTATTTGTGTGTGTATCTATACACAAACATTTATATGTATACACACAAGTTTTAGAAAATGTTTTTGATCGGTCACTGCCTCTAGGATCTTAAGTTGCACAGCATTAAAAAAATGTTTTAAATAAATAAAATGAAGACACCATGGTAGAAGTTACTGAAAGCTAGCGGGCGATTCAAGAGTACCAACAGTGTCATGCTCCCCGTTTTTCCCTTGGGACAGCTGCCTCCTGTGACAACCACAGCAGTTTCTGTCCCGAATCATATGTGAGCCTGCAATGGAGTTCACTTCATGTTATCTATAGCTTTTGAAGTTTATACCTCACCTTCCCATTTGCATGCTTAGAGTGACTTTTTAAAAAGTCAAAATTGCATGGGTGATTACTCTAAATCAGTACAAAATAGTAAACTGAGGGCTGTCCTTTCCTCTGCTGCCAGAAATTGATGATGTCCAGCGGCTGCAGCCCAGCTACTGAATGGCAGCAGTCCTTCGTCCCTCCTCCTTCCATTGGCAATTGATGACCTTGTACCAGTAGCAGGAA